TTGCAATGCAAACCTCATTTACAGCCCCGGGGTAGTGAATTTGAGGTGAACCGGTCTGAAATAATCATTGCTATGATTCTGTATCAGGTTTTGAGTTAGAAGCGTCTAACCTCAGCCAACTTGACGCTAGGGTCCACCCTGAGAAGATTACCGGATGCTTATACCTGCTTCTGCGAAATTTTGTGCAGTCATTCATATACTACTCACTATACATCTATGTCTTATTTCGGAAGTAGCTCAACTCGCGGACATAGTGAAAACGTTAGGGGTCAGTCGGAACTTGTATCCGATATGCAGATACAAATAGCGGTATTTTTTACTCTTCAACATCTTGAGTCTCTAATACTATGTGGTATTTGATGAGATTGCATGCGTTCTTGCATTCTCTCAATTCCTTCCAAATCTGCAATTTTCGGTTCTTGTCGCTTCAAAAGTTCCGTTTGCTGAATAATTTAATTGAGAGAATCATTGAAAAGCAGTGATTAGATAGTTCATCCCATAAAGGGGGTATTTGTGCGTCCACTTCGAAAGGCTCGAAACGCGATCATTCAGGTGATTATCTAGCAAATTACGTTTAAAAAGTGTTCAAAAATATAAGCATTAAATATACGTATATTTGCTCAAAAACACATTGTGAACTTTGTCAAGAAAAGCCTAAGTAGACAAAATGTAAAAGCACTGGAGAGTGTCGATATCGGGCGGCAATCATGAGTATTTTTGAATACTTTTGTTTACGGTTTCACATGGACAAATGATAAGATTTATTGTTGACATTCTGTGTGTGTGGGATTCGATACACCTCTCCAATTCCCCTCTCGTTCGGTCCAGAACTAGTGATTGCTTCCTCTCTCCTTCCGTCCCGCACTCACACACACACACACACACACACACACACTCACACACACACACACACGTCGCGCCTTATTGTGTTTTACATCATCTAATCTGATCACCCTACCACCATCATTTTGCGCGTGTGTGTGCATGCGTGCATGTGTGTGTGTAGCATAGTGGTATAACAGTTAGTACGTCTTACGCTGTGATCCACAAGTGATAAATCTAGACAAATTAATTGGAACAATCGGAGGGAAAAAAAGAGATGCTTAACGGTTTATGGTGAATTGTTACTGTTAGATTACTGTTAGGAATGTCCGGATTAGCTAAAAACTAGAGATAGTCAGAGAAATACAGACAATTTGACGACATTTAGACTCTCTTGGAAGGTCTTTTGCGAACAACAGACTGTATCAAATGGAGGTGTTTTCAGTTGTTCTAGCGGAAGGAAAATGGATGTTGTGTGCGTATGTATGCCTGTAGCAATAGATGGAAGTTGTGAATGAAGCAAGAGGTCAAAGAGCTAAGCCTGAAGTCCCAGGAAATGGGAGCTTATAGTCTGTGAGCAGGTTTTGTGGTGTGCAGAGATTTAATGTTGTTTTGTTTCGGTATGCATGTTTGCGTATGTGTGCATGGGACATGAAGCCAGTGAACTAATAATTAGGCCCTGTCCGTTCGATTCATCCAATGTGGATCGTCACTGGTGAAAAATGATGACTCATTATTTAATTGTCCTCCATATGACCTGAAAATTTGTTTCAGAATAATCGGTTTCCCGTGGTCTATAGTTTTCCCACAGAGCATAGCGATAGAGGAGTGGCCCTCAAGGGTCCTAAGCTCCGATATATATCTTGGGGATCATTTTAACTTTCTGTTATGATCAGCTACTCGCTTGTTTAGTTTGTCGACTTGTCCGGCCAATCTACGTGGCTGTACACTGCTTACATTTTATCTCCTAAATGAAATTCATTTGATCACCTTTTGGTCGTTTGTCCCCAAATTGCATCAAGCGAGTGAACGAGGTGTTCTGTTTGCCCGAAATAAATTAGTACCAGTAAATATCTTTGATAACGGATAGTAATTAGACTCCGTGCAAAACAAATCGAGCAAATTGTATTACAAACAGATTCATTTCACAGAGAGAAAAGAAACTTTGGAATTGCAATAAACGAAACGGATAGCGAGCAGTTTAGATTCTAAATTGAAAACAGGTTGAAATAAAGCGTATGTAACTCCCAATAAATTCCCCCCGGTTGAAAAATTGCCCTTCCACACCGCCTAGAATCATCTATTTTCATCCAGTAATTCAGATTCGTCTCTTTTAATTTCGAACTTTGACATACGTTTTTAGTTGTTTTAACTAAAATGCTAGGAAAGCATCTAATGTTGCTCTTTCTAAATTAATCGATGAAGAAAACAATGACCAAAATTGGTCAATTGACGGATCACCCCCAATTTCATTCTTGGATGATTTTGTTGGAAAAACAGTGGCTTGTTAACCTTGTGAGTATCTGAAATGATACTGGTCTTCTGTATTTTTTTGGTTCGCTTTAAGTGTTTCTATCAGAACGACAAAACAGGAAAATTTTTCGTTGCCTCGGAATGTTTCCGTTTGAGTATTAACCCCGGATCAAAGTTGAAGTCAGAGCTTTATTATGGAAAATATTTACAGGGCGTTGATTTTCTAATCCCATAGGGTTTAGCATAGATGAATCGAATCACGGTTCATAGAAAGTAGACGAGTGTCACAATTTATCCTTGTTTCGTGCACTGCTATGGATGTTGTATTTTGAAACTTGTCCAAGCATCATCCAGTTTATGCTTGAAGGAATCAATTGTGGGCACAGAAACAACGTGTGGCGGTAGAGAATTTCAAGTAGTGCACAATCTGAGGGCGACAGAATGAAGTAAACATTCTAGTCGACATTTTTGGAGCACTAATTTGAATGAGTTCCCCCTCAGATGAGTGTTGGGCGACAAGGCAAAGAATGAACGACATGCTTGATTTGGGTCCTGCATTATTTGGTATACGAAGATCAAGTCTCCTCGAATGCGGCGACTTTCTGTGTGGATTACAGCAATTGCGGTGATTCCATTCCCTCCACATAAGTCTTAGAATGCAGTCCCTTCATCAATTTGGTGGTCATCGTTTGTGGACGTTCCAGAATCTTCCAATGGCGTTCAAGCCATGGATTCCACGCTTGAATTACATATTCCGTGTGGGGCCGAATGTATGCTGATAACAACCGTGGAAACCGCGTAGGTTCACATTTGCCAAATACTCGTTTTAACAAAACAAAATGTCTCACAATGATGGACGATGCCTGGGAGCAGTTTAAAGAACAGCTTAGATCGTCTTGAACAATGACGCCGAGGTTCTTCTCATTTGAGTCGTACGGAAGTTGTTGATCTCCCAGAAAATAAGGAAACTGAGTTTTTTGGCGAAAGGATAGGACCATATATCTTAATTCATTGAATTGAATGTCATTTTCGATCGACCATTGATAAGTGCTGTCTGAAGCGAAAACATTGAATTTTGTGGCCACAGAATTTCCGTTAGGTTATTTGTGAAAAATTGAAAATTTAAGAACCAAGCACGGATTCCAGTGGAACATCTCAGGCTACGCTGATAGGATCCGATAGGGACACAGAAATCCGACGCTCCATGGTGCGTTCTCCCAACAGTTCTTCTATCCTACTCAGTACAAGTCCCCGAATTCCAGAATTGTGCATTTTCCTTAGCAGTATTATGTGGTTCACTTGGTCGACTGCTTTGGATAAATCGAGGTGCAATAAAAATCTACTGCTTCACCATGATCAACTACCTTTGTCCACACCTCTCGGTTCAGAGGCACGTTAATGGTACGCGATCACCTGCGACCAAACCCGTGTTGAGCCGAAAATGAAACGTATTTTTCGAAGCGACTCAGCACATTGTCTGAAACAATGGATTCCATGATTTTGAGTAGTAAACGGCGACGAGTTACGAGTCGGTAATTAGATGGGTCTCCATGAAAGTCACATGGTGAATTTATTCCTTGTTTTCATGTTTGTGGAAGCACAATTTTGTCAAACATATGTTGGAATATTTCACTTAGTGATTGAACTAGGTTACTTCCCAGGTTGATGGGGACTGGTGGATGGATATTGTCTATCCCCGAGAATGATCAAGCTGGCAAAGAAGACCTTATACTGAAGATAACACCCAATCAGATCGAAAAGCGCTGTAGTGGGTTTTAGCATAACAATTTCAACATTTCATTGTTATATAAACGACTAAATTCAATCAATATTTGAATTAAACATTCCAATACTTTCAAGTAAAAAATATATTCCATCATAGTAGAAACGGATCACGTAATTCCTAGCATTAGATTGTGAACAATTACCTCATTCAATGCATAAATTCATCCTCGGGAACACATGGAACAAAAACCAACTGCGATAAACGGTATCCCGGTTTTCGAGTCAGACAGTGTTCCGCAGGCAACGATTGATCTAGCTCAAAACTGAAACCTGATTGACTGAAGTCGGTCCATCCAAGAATAGATTGAGTCCGGATTCTTACTCTGTCTTCGTGTGTGTGTGTGTGTGTGTGTGTGTGTATGGTAGCAATCGGTGTCGGTCAGTCAGTCAGAAACGACAGTGGCACATGCGATCAACGACTGAATCGACGTTCGGATTGCAGATTTACCGTAACCAGTTAGAACTGTTTTAATTATAGTTTACTGTGAAAAGACACTTAAACACGATCCTTTCTTCCTCCGATTGCCAGCTGGCTACCGTATCAAACATACTGAAAAGCTGAAACCAGTTCAGTGACAATTGCAAATGGATTTTTGTTTATTTATCCTGTTGATTTTAATGTATACCTAGTTAAAATGATAATAATGGCTTTCAATTACCAATGCCACCTTCTTTTTGTCAACTTCATAAACGAACTTCCATCCATCCATCCATGCAACCAACCATCCATCCATCCATCCATTCATCCATCCATCCATCCATTCATCCATCCATCCATCCATCCATCTATCCATGCACACAACCCAACCGCCGAACACACGTGCATACAAATCAGAATCCCTCCAAGTCTCCGGGCCACTGTTTATTGTACGGCTATCCAATGGGGTGGACCAAAAGAATGGCATTTCCTCTGGGATCGGATGAGCAAAGAGAGACGCGATGAGGAACTGGTGAACATGCGTACAGCTTTAGCCTGCACACGAGATATGTGGATCATGAAGAGGTTAGTGTTTTGTGGCTGAAGATTCTGCAGCCTGAAAGGAGCGCACACTGCATGTGCATATTCACGTGCGTGCGTGCGTGTGTGCATGTGTTTTGCTAAAGCGATCTGTCCGATCCGAATTGAATACCTCATAATAAAATGTGATTTTCGCCTGCAGGAAACTGCTCTGTTAATCATTTTACCTCTAACTACTCTGTTCATTCTGCATGGAAATCAAGTCCTATTCACGTGAGATTGAATCAAAATTTCGTGTTGGTGAATAACGAGTTTGCAATTGGCTCGCGAAATAATAATTTTCTGTATTCAGTGCGCCACAGTTGATGACTAACGTAATCAGATTCATAGACGATTGAACAAATGATAAGTTAATCGTTCTGAGGCCTAATCAGTCTTACTGCTCATTACCGCTTTCAATAATGAGATGGTAAATGATTAGAAAGCGATCTATCGTGTGCTATCAATATCCCACTCAAATGAAGTTTTAATGGCATATCAGAGCAATATCCCTTTTTAATCTTTAACGTTTTTAGCAATACAGATCCATGCGTTCGTTCATCAGCAACCGATCTAATCAAAGTGCAATAGTGAAAAGCGTTTTGGTCGTCCGTTTACATTTTTCATCATCATCATCATCATCATCATCATCATCATCATCATCATCATCATCCGTGAATATTCACAGTTGATGCTCGTCGATATGAAATCTGTGATAGTTTTCCCGGTTTATGTTGCTATGAAACACTTCGTTCCGCCTAATAAAGTTGAACAGGAAAGTAATAAAACAAACCGTTGCCTTATCCTGGCTCTAACCAGTTATGTGCAACCAGACATGCATATATATATACTACTACTATATCGTGTAAACAGAAAATTAAAAAAAACGGTCTAGTCAGTTGCCCGGTGGCCGAGTGCGTAATATGCTTGAGTTCTGCCAGTCAAGTCCCGGGTTCGATCCCAAGTTGGGTCGATAGATTCGCATTGCTGATGAGACCCTATCAAGTCGGAAAAGCTCTCCGGTGCTTCCTGGCTTTTCAGTTCATGCTTCATTTGCCATAGATATATGTATTTGTACATATATTGATCTAACTTGCGAAACCTGACTCTTATTTTGGAAATACATTTCAGTTGCCAATATCATACGTATATATTGAAAACTATAAGTAATGAGTATTTATTCCGAACCTTATCTCCTGCAATGTTGTAAGTTTGAATTTGCACAATTTTGACCGTGGCGACAACTTTGCAGTAGTTCCAAATTGCAGCTCACAACTGATAAAATATTTTATACAAAACAGTATGAAAGTTCGTTCTTTCTGACACATGATTGCTTTTTCATGCACATTTAAATAGGGTTCGATTAACAAATGCAAAAAACACAAGTGTATATCATCACAGATAGGTCACGTTTGATGTGGCTCAATAGCATATTCAATCCCCTGTGAATGGGGTTGGAAACACTCGGTGTTGAAAGGAACAAATGAGATTAAAGTCACAGAAATAAACGAGTTTAATCAATATATGCCGTGTGTTTGCATTTTTTTAAAAAGATTTTTGCATGCACAAATGTCCGCATTCCAGTTAACATAATGACTTCAAACTGGATTTCTTAATTCATTTCATATTGTGTATCTTGTTCAAATATCATTAGCATGTGAAAAGAATTCCTGTTTCACTTTTTTTCTTGTTTCTCTTTGTTTTCCGATTCGCCAGTTCTTATATATTTATTCCCGAAACCAGAATAAGATCTTGCTTCGATTGGTAGAGAACTAAACATTCTTGGAAAAGAGTTTCATTGACCTTTGTGCATTTGTTTATCCGAATAGAACCATGTTTCTGGATTGTTCTTTTTTGGTCTTATTTCAGTTTTGTGCACAAAATGTTCCACGCTGTTTCCGATCCCACTGATCTGGTTGAAGTTATCACCTACCTGTCCCAGAATTCCCTTGGTCACGTGGTGATGTGGGATTATATCCGAGAAGCTTGGCGACAAACTGTGGATGAGTGAGTTCATTCCGTTCGATTGAAATCCCTGTATACCATACTGTCTATATTGGTCTCTCTATATACTCAAAATAAATGTGGATTTTGAACCGATAGTCGATTTCACTAATTTAGATTACTTTTCTTATACTCACACTTTTTCATACATATTACACATTAATCACAAATATCTCAGAGGGGTAAATTATACAAAAATATGAACTGTATTCATTCAAGTCAAGTCAAGTCAAGTCAAGAAAAGCTTTATGCACCCAAATTGTGATTTTTCAGCAGTTTACGAGTTTTACAATGGATAGATAAAATAATTGTAAACAAAAAATACAGTACATGGAATTCCGCACTTTAATAAATGAGAGAGAAAATTAGGGCAGAAGTTTTTCCCTGAGATGGTTGGGGATATGCTGACGATTTACTAGTAAATGAGCCAGGTAAGGAATTACACTGTTTCGATATGTGGAAGTCCGCGCAGGAAGGAGTTCATATTTGGAGCGTGTCCGGGGAATTAACAGGGTTTTCGCGATATCTTGGTGCAGACAGTGCCCTTGATCATGCGTTATTCTGTCAATGAATGTATCACAAGCGTCAAGATGCTTGGAAATAAAGAAATCAACTAAAACAGTTTTATCAACTGCACTGTAGCGGGACAAAAGTTTAAGGGATCTTGATATTAAAGAGGAGTCTTTTTCTTTCAGTCCGGAGATAAAAATCGGGGAGCAGTGTGGAGCCAGTGTGGAAGAATGCAGGCAATCACAAATTTAATGATAAGATTATGCGGTATGGCCAGTTTCCTGAGCCTGTAAGCTTAGAAGGACAGTTTTCGAACTTTAATGAAAACGTTGATGACATGAACAGACCAGGATAGGTTATGGGTAAGGGTGACACCAAGGTATTTAACAGATGCAGATTTGGGAATGCATGATTGTTAATCCTAAGATCAGGGAGATTATCAACTAATGAAAAATAACGGGGACCGGTTTCAAGACCAAATGGAACTTCGATGCACTTACGGACGTTAAGTTTAAGGGATCGGGTCACAGACCAATCGTCCTGGAGAGGTCGAAAACCTTCCGAAATAGGGGCTGGGCAACCAATCACAATATCATCAGCATACTTAGAAGCAATAAAGTTGTTGGGGATGGGCAAATTGTGTATATACATGAAAAACAAGAAAGGGGACAAAATGGCACCCTAAAAAACACCGGCTTCAATGTTAATAGAACAAGATTGTACACCATTGAGTGAAGTAAACTGAGTCCTACGGGAGAAGTAGTTGATTAGTATAATCAAGACTTCAGGAGTTAGACCACACTCAGAAAGATTTAGTTCAAGTGTATAATTATTGTTTTGTTGAGCCATAAGCATCTGTTTGCAAATAACAATGTCATGTTGCTCACCGAGAGACGTGGATCCGAATTTCGTTCTTTCTTCTTTGTTTTTATTTTTAGCAAAGCCAATGATACGAAGAGTATCCTATCCATGTGAGCTCATTTTACGTGACCATTTGCTTCTTGTTTCTCCATTGTTACTTTTGGTTCTGTTGTTGTTGTTGTTGGTGGTGGTGGTGGTGGTGGTGATGGTGGTGGTGGTGGATGACTGTTACTGTCACCGGGATATTATTTGTTTTATTGATGGTGCCTTTTCAGCTCGCTTGAGGTTTTCATTTTCTTTCCTCGATCAGAATTATGTAATCTGCCTTGGCTCGAATAAAAACGAAAGTGATTGAAATGGAGCACCGACCGCTAGGTGGTATGTTTTGTGGGTGTGATTGTGGATATGATCCAGATATTGTGCTTCAATCGGACTGGTCAGGTGAGAAGACAAGTACAGGATCGTCGTCTGTTCACCGTTCAACGAAAAACACGCTTCCTAGCAAATTGGAGAGCATTAATAAAAATGATCTTAATCACATTCTTTTCGATTGATTTTATTCAGTTTACGCTTTTACAAAAAAAACGTAATAATTCATTCGATAGTGTTTTTGGGGATACAGTTTGATTCCTCCTTCATCGAGGTCCTTCAAGATCCCAGATAGTTAAGCAGCCCCCTTTTGGTCTACATTCGTTTGGAGTTGATGCATGAAATGTTCGACCATAGATTGAGATTGACTGACCAAGATGACCATGCGAGAGTACTTGTACGGCAAATCCGATGCAATTTGTGTCTGCTAAATTGGCACTGTGCAGGCAGGTTGTTGTTCCGGACAAATCAATTTGATAATTGTTCCCAACAATGGCAAGATATGTCAGATCTGAACTTCTAGGTAAACTCGATTATCATCTAAAAATCCCGACTCGCTTCTACTTTTCCATTTAATAGTTTCACAGACCCATCTTGTTGCATTATCGCTGCCATCGTATTTTTTCATATTTTCATAGATAATTCCCCAAGTACACCTATGACAATCATGTTTTACTAATAAATATGTTGATTTACCAAATAAAATATTTCTTAGTGGATTGTTCGCCCACAGAAATATACTTCTTCAAAGCGCACAACAAAAATGCAACTTGTGATGTTGTACAACCAATAGAAGAGCAGGAATGTGCTTTCTTTCTTTTCAGTAAAAGGCATGGAACTTAGTACAGATAAAGATGGGATAGCACAGTTGCTAAACAGGGCAGATTGAATCTGAGATCTCTACATCGCGGTATCTCAGTCCTTGATGGATGTTAATAACCAGTTGTGCTTTTACACCAATCGACTCATTTGCTCGCCACCCGTCTTAAAACAACGAACCACTTGGCAGTTCAGTGGCGCGATTTACCTGACCCTCACATTTTTACCGTACACTGGACAAATTTATTTATGTACGAGCGTGTATGTATGAACTCCAGCAAACAGATAAACATGCAGCCTGCCAAACTACAAAGTGTGCATTGGAGTGATTGGCCTAACAACTAAGTTTGCAGGAAGGGTGAAGATGGAAGTGTGGATAATCTTCTTGGATGAGATCAAGAAATTCCATTTTAAGATCTCCATTCAAATTTATATTCCCACTAGAATTCGCTAGAATATGATTTCAAAACGTAAAGCTCCCATCTACTATTGGTCTTGTGGTTGCATCGGTCGATCCGAAAATCTGTTTTCGTTCGTAGATTTCATTCCCCTAAACAATGTGTCTGGTTGTTTGCAATATTTTCTCTCTAATTAACAGGTATGCCCATTTTTCTTTCTTCTTCAGACCACCTGTAAATGCTATTTTGAAAATTCTCTCAAAGAAATACTACACATTAAACAACATACCACCCTCGGAGGAGGTAAGTTGCTCTGCGATGTTTTTGTTGAATTCACACATTCGCTTATTACATTCATATTTTCTTACTACTAACAAGTAGTATAGAATTATTGAGCAAAATACGAACGTTGTAGGAGCTCGCTTTGGGCAGACAGACAATGTGCCGTGATCAAATGAAACCAGCAGTTCCTTTATTTAATAATTTCCATTTTGCTATCGAGTGGTTTTTGATCGAAGATGTTTTCTATTTGACTGCAACCGTTGCATCAACATCCCTGGGTGTGTGTTAGTTGCTGTATGAATGTTTGGCCAAACAACCGTAAGTGTATCCGTTGAACGACTGCAAATATTGCCCAATTTTGACTACCATGATGGTAGCAATTCAGTGGTATTCAACACCCTTGGGATTGGCAGTTGCATTTTTATTTTCTGCCAACAATGTAGCCATAGGTTTCCTTAGTCAAATAAATTTTTGGTTCAATGTGTTATGAGCTGTTATGCTAACCAAAATGCGTTAGGAACAATAAGCTTCTCTGGCCGTTTTTGATCGCTGGGCGTTATTTCTCTGTCCACCAAATCCTTGCAGATTGTTGCACTGGAACAATCAAGTCACGCCACCACGGAATCGTCGATAATGCAACGCTCATTCCAAGAATTGTTCAAACGTAATGAGCAAAATATGCTCTGGTCAAAAACGCATCTGCGCAGTATTAACAAATGGCTGGAGGAACACGTGGTGGACCAAAACGCACTTATGTGACAAACTCATTCGTTGTCAACCAAATTCGTTCCATCCGTGATTCTAATTTTGGTTCCCACCCCGAACTCTCTCCCTCTCTCTGCACTCCGCATCCCACCCAGCCCCCACCCACACACTACCACGTTCAAATGGTCGCCGTCAATGGTGAAATTGTGAGAAATGTTGATTTCATTGTTTTGCCTGAAATTTGGTTTTTGTCTATATTTTCTGCATGTTTACCCGTATTTCTCATATTCGATGGAACGTTCATCAAACTCTCGTTCTCTCGCTGGCTCTCCCTGTTTACCTAAATTTGTGTTACCTGTGTACAAGACGCAAAATCCTTTTAGCGAAAAAAAAAACAAGATCATTCACAATTTGTTTCCCGTACTGTGTGTTTGACTAGTGCAAATGGGCAATTACCACTAAGCGCAAGGATACAGACCGGACAAAATCTATCTGCGCACGTATGCAATATGGTTGTCATTTTGATTTGCGAGCATTATTTATAATAGGCATGTCACCGCTTTCTCCGTGTTTGTCTAAGTCACCAATCGAACTCCGGGACTTGGAGTGATGAGATAAGCATTCATATGCTTTACTATCCACCCCATCGCACCCCACCCCACCCCTCCATCCTTCTTTGTGTCTCTGTCTCTGATCTCCCCCCCACACACACACACACACGTCCCTGGCTCCACCCCCTCCCACCGCCCCGCCTCCGGCCTCTTACCAACTCACACCTCCGTCACCAGTTTACCTATCAACCCACACGCCCCACTGACACACACACACATGCACACACACACACACACACACACACACACACACACACACTGTC